TACGCTCTTTCGTTACCATCCCGACTGCGATAATTGGAATCCGCCGTTAATCAAAAATGAGAGAAAAGGGGGAAAGGAGAAATTGGTTACAACGAGGTCTCCCTTTCAGCGTGATGAAAATGTAGATTGCCCGGCGAAGTGACAATAAAGAATTCCAAACAATGCGCTTTTCGAACGGTCCGCGCCGTCTATCGCGGAATAATCGCGGAAATACGACCGGGAATAACTCGGATTAGTTGTGGAATCGGCTTAAAAGGGACCGCATCGCGGCATGAGCGTCTTAGTTCCAGTTATACGTATCTTTACGACTGAGAAACCAATAAAAGCTCCGCCGTTCTATCGGAAGCCGCCCCTTCACCGAATTTCCTCGCGATTACCTGAAGAGACTGTACAATTAACCGACACCTGGCTTCGAGACTAACGCCCTTCGATACGGACGCCGAATCTCAACGGGATTCTTTCGCAAATAAAACTGAGGGGAACGGAGAACGAGATGAAGGGAAAAAAGGAATACGGTTTCATAAAGAGGGAAGAAAAAGCACGCGGCCGGGCGATAACGAGTACGTGGGGAAAAAGGAGTGGAAGATATACGGCGGAGAAGCGAAATAAAAAACCGGAGCGAAGAGATACATGGCGGGAATTAACTACGCGTTAATAAAATAAGCTGCGGGGAAACGAATGCTGCCTTGCCCCGCGCTTTCTTCGCTGCGAGGCAACGGGAAATATCTCCTGGCCAACGGAAATGGATGGGAAACGGGCGAACGAGAAGACGCCGACCGATACTTTTCATTCTGTCGCTAGACGTCAAGATCTTCCCTGTATTATTTCGTTCTTAAGAATGCCACCGGTGATTCTACGTGACGCGGTCTTGAGCACTGTCGCCGGAAAAATCCTTTCACCCCATTAAAGTTCCCGCCCCTGGGGAAAATCCCGGGAGTTTTACCGCGAGATCAAAGCGGGATCCTTCAGCTTAGACTTCCAATACGCTCTCCCACCTCTAAACGTTCATTAAGCTTACACGCAACTGGCCTCCGCAAATTTCGATTAAATCCCTGGACCGGGCACATTTCACCATGACTAAATACAAGCCAGCCGCTTGTCCTGGGATTAGGCGACGCTTTTCGTCCGGAGGGAAAGATGTTTTTGCGCGATGGAATAAATTGGATAGGGGACAATGATTTGTATAAAGATATGACGCGTTCAGAGAAACTCTGATTAAGTTTTATAGAAATTCTTGGTGTAACTCCTGACCCTTTGCACTCAAGGTGGCTGGGTCACCACTTGATTCGATGTAGCATGATGAAGTCTCGTATGTAAACTTCGTGTAATGCATCGATACGTGAAATATTCGAATGAAAGCTTTGCTTCTTAGTTTATCTATGTTCTCTAGATAGTCTCGATGAATGTCGTCTTTATTTCGCTAAGAAACGGTGAATGTTCCGTGAAACTTTCGAAGGCAAAGGGTTAATAGACGAGTGCCTATACCAGAATGAATATTTTTGGCAATTTTTCAGCGGTGCATCCGTGAACTTTCATGGTGCACTATTAAAAGTCTTCCTTCAAATATTTTCCAACTTCGAAACCTCGGTGTGTGTATAACGTTACTTTTGTAAATACAGTATTTTAAACATGGAACTCTGGAAGCGGGTATCGAATGCGAGAGTTACGAAGCGTTCTGTTATCAGCGATATTTGTACACATACTCCCCTGATCGCCCTGCGCTATCAAAGCTGGAGTTTACCTTGCATGTATCCGCGGAGCGAACAGATTTTTTCAGGCGCGCACGTTCTTACGGGAACGGGAAGTACTTCAGATGGGACCCGGTGATGGCGGGTATCACGGCCGCAGTCGTACGAAATCACAAAAAAGTTCGCCGCGGTTGATTCGCCGTCTCAGCGAGTCGCAGTTGGTATTCGGAATACCGATTTTCAGGAATAAATTCCGCGAAGAATGCGAAATTACCCGTAGAACGGAAAGTTCCTCTCGCAGGGCTCGTCTGGCGGGAGGGGCGAGCGCGCGGCCAAAGGAGGAGAGCGTGTTCCTTTGTGAATACGCTTCTGGCAAACATTGGCTCGTCTTTTTTCTTCAATGACACGGCCACCTGCTGCCTTTGCGAGATGCCAGTTAGCTTTTGAGACAGTTACAAGACTGCCCCGAGAAATTCTCTGTCAACGGTACGGACATCCGCGGCGAATCGCCGAAATACTGGTAGAATTCGTCGCGGAATTTGTTTCGATATAGGGGCCGCCTTTATCCTTGAAGTACTACTTTCCTAGCTGTGATGATCTTTTCAGCTCGGAACTCTCGCGAAGAATGAAATTTCAGCATTACCTAGACGTTATTTTCTCTAGGTCTACTACAAAGAAAACAAGAGGAGAAGAGGAAAGAAACGGAGGAAACCAAAGGACGACTTAACAAGAGAAACAGAAGATCATTGGTTTATGAATGAACTATCAAAGCCACAGGAGTTATACAATTTCTTTCCTACGCTTTCAGCGTACCCTCATTTTCCTCTCGAAACTCTATTTGAATACCCATTCAACACAGCCATCCGCATCGAAAGAACGGGCTTCTTCCAGAACCTCGGTACCCAGCGGAAAACAGCAAAGTAACAGGCGAAGAGCGCAACGCGAATCGTTTCAATATCCCCATTCTTCCGTCGTTCTTCCCGGTATAATGAACGCAAACGCGAGGCACGCGTGCGTTCGAGACGCTGTTGAATAATCCATCAGAGACAGAATCCGGCGGGGCCCGCAGTTAAATAGCATCGGCTCCAACGTCGCGATGTATTACTCATCAGCGCGTAGTCGGGTCTACAAGCCCATATATTCATCCCCGAAGTCACGGCGTTAGGCACACCGGCAACTTGTTATCCGCGCGCTGTCGCTTTGCAGTGCGGCTTTCAATCGCGCGCGCCGGGAACAAGGATGGCAGGCGGAGTGCTGCTGGAGATGGAGGGAATCGTGAACATTGAATTTGAAGAAATAGAGCGCGACTCGTACCGCCGACGGGTTTCATTTTAATGAGGCTACAAAGCGACGGCGGCGGCGGCGGCGGTGGAGGCGAGGTGCGCGCACACCGGAAACGCTACCCCGGAATCATGTCGCTGGATGAAACGGCGAACCGGAGACTTTCGAAGAGCACCGGAGGAAAAATAAACTGAAAAGCGGAGATGAAGACGGCGCCCGGTCCCGGGAAACAATGGTTCCCAAGGAACTCGCTGGGACCGGCGATTGTGTTTATACAATTAAAGCTTATCCCGGCGTTGTCTTGCTACAAACCCCTTCGCCCCTGCTCGCTCGTTCGCCAATCCCCTCGCTTTAGACGCAGTTAACGCGCCAGTGAAATGCAAGTGGATCGTGTTATGATTATTGCGTTGATGCGCCGTTTCTAATAAAGACACCTCATCCTATTCGGAGCCGGCGGGTCGTAGCTTTATCTCCGACTTCCACCGGCGTGCCCGGCGAATGGTACACCGCGCGGAATTGCGTTCGCGAAATTTCTGCTTTTCCCGAAACGGAAAATCGATATTGCAATTAGCCCCTTCGCCGCTATCTTTCATCGCCTGCCCGGCTGCGAACACCGTGTTTACCCCGGGCTAGGCGCCGGTGTTAAGCGTTCCGGGCCTCTTTCCGCGTTTTCGGAGCTCGGTGCTGCTGCGCCGGGTGAACGCGAGAAAATGATATGATGTATTGACGCTTATTTCATAGATTCTTCGGGAGTATATATATGCTGTATTTTTGCAGAGAATAGGCTTTGCGATACTGTGCATGTATTTTAACCCTTAGCACTCCAGATGGTTTTGTAATCTATCAGCAACTGCAACGAATTTTTATAGCATCCCTAGCGAAAATGAAAAATGCTATAACATTTCTTAGATCCTTTATTTCCCTTCTTAGTGCAAAATTTGGATGTGTGAAAAATCTAATGATCGTAGGGTAGTTTCTTTAAGATTCATTAAAATATCTAATATTATTCCTGGTGCAATATTGGAGCCTACAGAGTTCAAAGGGTTAACACGTCGACTGCCACGGTGGTCATCGATGACCGGAGCTTTCGAATTACTTGAAAACAATTGTAATTCGTGGAATAACTGACGTCGAATTAAAATGTTCGGTAGTAAATAGATAATAATGCAATCCAAGAATTGAGGCATCAAACAGTAATGGATAATCATTCCTTTTCATCTTCGCTACAAAAGAATGATAGAACGCTGAATTATATTTTCGTGTGTATACGCCAGTGTCGAGGTGGTAATGGTATTCGCGAGTGACGCAGGATTTTATTGTACTTTTCACGATTTTTATAGGATGCGAATTAATTTTATTCCTATTTCATGGGTTTCTTTATTTTTAATTTTGCTAACTTTATTGCTTTGGGGTAACTGATGTTAGGAGCGATGATTTTAATATGAAATTTTTAGTTCGAACGATGTAAAAGCAAAGGAGGGCACTCCCCTCCTCACTTATGATAATTAAAGACTGTGCACACACCTTTATACGCAATTTAAAAAACACCACTCTGCATGACCTACATATGGTAAAGGATCACTCGAACCTGCGCGCTGGGGGATCGATACTACCGGCTTGAAGACCCGCCCCTTTGATTTCTCATATGAAAATGGAACATTTAACGTCGCCAACAATGATCGTAATATATTTAATTACACTCTTGAAATCTAAATTTAATAAATTTTCTACGTAATCGTCCTTGGTAAGACGATGTGAATTATTGCTCACCCGGTACATGATTCTAGGGTAAAATACGAAACTAGTCTCCGCAGGGGGAGCAATATAGCTACTTTAAAGAACCTATGCATACACATGGGGTGTGTAATTATAAAAAAAACATTATTGGTTCATGAATATTGTTAAAATGTAATGAAATATTAATATGAGAAAAATTAAAGCTCAATAAATCTATTGATATTAATATTATTATTAAAATGATAATTACTAACGCTTGTCGTGGGGTGGCGTTAATTATCAGACGAACCACTATCGATTTTATGCAGAAGTTTTCTCTCTATAGTGTGCTTCTATGGTGTTAATGGGAATTTTGGCTTGGCAAAGGTATAGCCCTGGTTAAACAAAGGTTCGTGATAAGGCTGTCAAAATATTAGATTATTGACTTGAGGGTGTTTAGAAATTTTACACAATGGACTTTTAGAGAACTTATAGTTAGGTAAGTATTAACTTCCACTCCTGAATATCAAGGATTATTAAATGTGTCTTGATTATATCTTGAGTTCGATTCTTTAATATGGTACATTCAATTGTTTCAATAATCATTTTTTCTAACAATGTAGTTACTAACTTAACTAAACAATTAATTAATAATGAATGATGTACTTTATCTATTGTCCATTAGAATTTAATAAATTTGTATGTGCAATCAATGAATTCTATGACTTTATGATTAATAAATTAATAAAATATCATATTTGAGACCTTGTAGAAGAAATCTCTGACCACAACATTTATGATGTCTTCTGTACAACGGGCTTTTACTCAAAAATTGAGTAAACAACATGCAGCTGACGTTAGACGTCAAATTGCTAATTCTACCTCATATTCTCGTGAGCTGTCAAAGAGTGGCAGTTCATTCTCAGGTTTCTCCTCAACAGTACGTTAGCTATTTACTATAATATGCATATTACCTTAAGTACTGAAAACATTATTAATAAATAACATTATTAATTTTCTAGATGTCACTATGTGAAGTATTAGAGCCACTGGACTATGAAGAATTCTTAGCACAGCATCAGTCAGTTCTTGATCGTGATCCGTTAAAATCTATATTAGATTTTCCACCTGGAGATGTTGAATTACAAGTCCTTAAAAGGAAAATTCGAACAGAAGAACCAGTGGTTCCTCATGAGTCATTGTAAGGGTTTTTTGTCTTCAACTAAATCAAGTCATTCTCATTGTTATTTTACTGTTGTCTTTTTGTTGTTGTGTAGAGATACCGTATCTCCATATGTTAGAAGATGCATAGAAAGCTTTACTTCAGACTGGGTAGATGTACACCGCAAGTACAAGCGTAGAGTATCTCCTATTGCAAGAGACAGACTACTGCAGGACACCCCAAGACAAGACTTTGAGGTACTCAATTGTAAATATCTGCATTATATATCATTGAAGCTTTAGTTTAAAGTAAATGTAAAATAGGTAGATCAAGAGGACACAAATGGCTCGGGTTCCCCAAATGAAGAAGAGGATTTATCAAATTGTGGAGATACCCCAAGAGGCTCTTGGGCTAGTTTGGATTTAAGGCATTCCCAACATGATCCACTTCTTCCAAGTCTTCTGGATCGTGTCTGTCCAGAAACTATTGATCAGATGAACGAACAGAAGCGCTCAGAAGATAGACAAGTGAGTATTGACAGCATTAAAATAATATGATCCTAATTATTCTATGCTACTATTAATTTTAGGAAGCATTATTTCCACTTTATGCACCTCCAGCCTCCCCAGATGATGAGTGGCAAGAAATTGGTATTGCACCAGAGCCCTCAGAACCTTTTTCCCATAAGATTCTTGTTAAATGTCTTCAGTTGAAATTGGAATTGGAAGTAGAACCAATTTTTGCAAGTCTGGCATTATACGATGCTAGAGAAAAGAAAAAGGTATCGGAGAATTTTTATGTGGACATGAATTCAGAAGGATTAAAAAGAATGCTTGGCAGTCACATTGCGTACAGTGATGCCAGTACTTTAGCAAGGAGCTGTGTTATGAGCATCAGCAAACCTAGCCCGGATCTATTTTTAGTTGTCAGACTTGAGAAAGTATTACAAGGTGATATTTCTGAATGTGCAGAGCCATATTTGCGCGACGATAAGAATAAGGATAAGGTAACTATATATGATTCTAAATTCGATTAATTAATTCGTTTAAAACGTTTAAATGAAAATTAGGTAAGGGCTGCAGCTGCAGCTGCATGTGAACGACTAGGTCGCTATCGAATGCCACTTGCTTGGACGGCTATCCATCTTTCTGGCGTAATAGGAGGTGGTGGAGATACGGATAGCACTGGCAGTGCTGGCTCTTTGGATAGAAAATCAGGGGGACTCGAACAGTGGCGTAAAAAAGTGGAACCACCGACTAGGAGAGGTTCTCTCGAAAGAAGAAGTTCGGATAAGAGACGCAGCTGGTCACCGGATGATTTTGCTAACTGCCTAGATACGTTTAGGTAGATATGCGATGTAAAATGTACTGCAACTAGTGGTAGATATATACGTTTTCCCCTTCCAGGCCCATAACATTGACTGTTTCAAGTTTCTTTAAACAAGAAAGTGAACGTTTAAGGGATGAAGATCTATACAAATTACTAGTTGAACTAAGAAGGCCAGGCTCTAATCTGAAACGGCTGAAATGTTTACCAGGTATACTGAAACTAGACCTGAGTCCCAGGCCCGAAGAGTTGCCCAGGTGTTTGGACCCCGACCTTAGAAGACTAGTGCCATATCCAGACGAGAAAAGTCGACCAGTGAAGGAAATACTAGAGTTTCCAAGTGAAGTCATTTCACCAGATCTGACGTACAGGAATCTTTTGTACATTTACCCCAAGGTAAATTAATAGTCCTCTCATTTTTTCAAGTAAAATCAATTATTCTCTAAACAAACATTTGTTGCTGATTACAGGAAGCAAACTTCAGTTCTAGAACAGGGTCAGCTCGAAATATCGCGATAAGAATTCAATTGATGGGCGGTGAGCAGGAAGCGGATGCCTTGACAGCTATATTTGGAAGATCATCGTGCCCTGAAATGACATACGAGTGCTTCACATCTGTCTCGTATCACAATAAAAATCCGAACTTCTACGACGAAGTCAAAATTCGCCTGCCCGCAGACCTAAGCGCGAAGCATCATCTGCTCTTCACATTTTACCACATCAGTTGCCAGAAAAAAATGGAACAACCGAATGTCGAGACTGCTGTAGCCTACACGGTAAAAGCAATTAGCTGCATTAATACTTGTCTAATCGATAGGTTCTCCTAGCTAATAACATTTTTTCTGTTCAGTGGCTGCCGCTCTTAAGAGACGGACACCTGCAATCCGGCGAGTTCAGTCTGCCAGCAATGCTGGATCCACCCCCAGCAAATTATTCCTACATTGCACCGGATGTTCTCCTACCTGGCACCAGATGGGTAGACGCTCACAGAGGAGTTTTCACAGTAATTCTGGAGCCGGTCTCCAGCGTGCACCCGCAAGACAAATACATCGACAGGTGATGGTTTAACGTCCCATAAGTCTCGTGAACATTTAACAGCAAACATTAACTCGTAAAATTGCAGGTTTCTATCACTGTGCGGCTTCCTGGAAACTGGCCAAGTACCTCCACGCATTGGCGAGGCCGGGATGGAGTCAGAATTAAAATCTGCCCTGCTGGAGTTGGCAAGGGCTTCTCATTCCGCATTGGTACGATCGTTACCCCAGCTCCTGGATCAGTTAATATCACTCTTGGTACGTCCTCCTACGTTACCGTCGCAACCACTGAACGTGGCAGCCACAGTCTTCGAGGCAATTGGCCTACTGGTTCGAAATATCACTAATTTACCGGATGGTCAATTGGATGCTCACGGTAGACATGCACTTTTGGCGACCTACGTGGCATACCAGTGCTCGTTACCGAGAATGGCTACCACTCCGGGTATCATTAGGGCTCAGAGCAACCCTGACCTACCTCTGGAAGATTTAGAAATGGAAGTGCACTCGCGGGGTTTAGATCGAACCGCCTCGATGCGCCAAGAATCACCTTCCATAAACAGTCAACCTACTAGAAGACTATTGCATGAGGAATTGGCCCTACACTGGGTTGTGTCTACCGGTCAGGCTCGGGAACTAGCGGTAACATATTCATGGTTCTTCCTGGAATTGATAGTTCGTTCCATGGTCGTTACATTGTCGGAAATGGGAATGCTGGAAGCCCCTCGAAAATCGAGATTCTCACCTCAGTTTTGCGACGACATAGCTACTCTGACTGCAGCGTTAACTACAGAGGTGGTGGCTCGTTGCGGGAAGGAGACTAGAGTTCCGAATAATTTGGTATCGAGTCTTGGCAACTTCCTATCTGATTTATTATCTGTGATGGATAGGGGGTTCGTTCTGTCCCTTATTCGAGCAGCGTGTTGCTCCTTGTCGGATGCTTCTATGCATATTCCTGATTCGGCTGCTTTATACGCGCTCAAGCTGGATCTTGTGCGAACAGTGTGTTCCCATGAGCACTACGTAGCTCTGAATCTTCCGTTCGGAACTGGATATACGTCAGGCTCGGCGCCAGCTTCGCCTAGTCCATCTACTGGAAGCTCGGGCAGTTTAATATCGACGCTTGTGCCTGGTGACCGCGCAAGGTTCTCTGAACTCAGCCAGGAATTCCGGCAGCAACATTTCCTGGTCGGAATCGTTTTATCGGATCTATCGAACACCTTAGAAATACCGAATCCAATGCTACAGAACAAGGCTATTGGGACGATTCGACATCTGATGTCCTGTCACGATGTAGACTCAAGATATTCTGACCCTGCAGCCAAAGCTAGGGTCGCTGCCCTTTATCTGCCACTTCTAAATATCATCATGGACGCTTTGCCTCAGCTTTATCACTGGGACTCCAAAGATAAAAGTGTCTATCCGGATGAGTCCGGGTCTATCACGCAGTCCGTAGCGTTAGCTATAGCTGGCGGAGTTTCCGTAGAAACTGCAGGAACGCAGTGCAGAGTTTCTTTAAGTTCGGAAGCCACGCGGCACCTTTTGATGTGCGTTCTATGGGTGCTCAAGGGCTTGGAACAGTCTGCATTAGCGCAATGGTGTTCAGAGCTGAGTCCCAGGCGTATATTGTGCCTTCTTCAAGTTCTCAATATTGCTACTGCGGCTTTTGAGTACAAGGGCAAGAAAGCTTTGAAAAGGTTGCCCCCGCAAGCTGCTGCCACCAGTGACATTAGATCTAGATTAGAGGATGTGATTCTCGGTCAAGGTAGCGCTAGAAGCGAAATGATGCTGCGTAGGAAAGAAAGGATAAGTGGGGACAAACTGAGATGGCGTAAAGATCAAATGCCTTACAGGTAAGTTACAATAAATTTTTGAAAGCTTGCTAATTGCAAACTTTTGATGAATTTTTTATCTGTCAAGACCTTGCGAGCAATCTGAAGGAAGAGCTGTGGAACAAGATGCTCACATAGAAGGTGCCTTAGCAGCAGAAGCTTCCCTTGTGGTTTTAGATACCTTAGAGACAGTTGTGCAAGCTGATGGAGGAGGAGGTATGTAAAAATTCTCCCTACGTTAAAGTTTAAACTGGATTTTTCATGCTATTTCATCCACAATCTTACAAAATTCTACAGGAGCGGTGGTAGGAGCAGTACTGAAAGTACTTCTGAGAGCTCTAGCCAGGAATCAGAGTACATCTGTATTACAGCATATGTTCAATACACAAAGGGCTTTGGTATTCAAATACCATAGTGCTCTGTTTGATGAGGAAAGTGAAAGGTGTGGTGATCTCTGCTTAACGTTGCTCACTAGATGCAGTTCTCCTTTGAGTGCTGTTCGTAGTCATGCTGCTGCCAGTCTTTATTTGCTTATGCGTCAGAATTTTGAGATTGGGAATGTAGGTGTTTAAATTTGTGTCTTAATTGAATTCTGCAAATGGGATAAACAGATAAATAATACGAGATGATTTCAGAATTTTGCTCGAGTTAAAATGCAAGTCACAACATCATTGTCAGCTCTTGTTGGGAGAGGAAGAGCTCCTAGCGAAGGTGCACTTAGAAGGGCACTGAAAACAGTATTAGTCTATGCGGAAAGAGATACAGAATTGGCTGATACTAGCTTCCCAGAACAAGTCAAGGATCTTCTGTTCAATTTGCATATGATCCTATCTGACACCGTTAAGATGAAAGAATTTCAAGAAGATCCAGAGATGCTTTTAGATCTTATGTATAGGTAAATAATCTTTGAAGCAAACAATGTTGTTGCAACATTGAAATGAAACTATGCTTAATCTTGTAGAATTGCAAAGGGGTATCAAGGATCACCAGATCTTAGACTGACATGGTTGGCAAATATGGCTCAACAGCATATGGAAAGAAAAAATCATACAGAAGCAGCAATGTGCTTAGTGCACAGTGCCGCTTTAGTAGCTGAGTATTTGCATCTCCTGGAGCCAGGAGGTGGTGGTAGGCCGGTTGGAGCTGTTGCTTTGTGTCCTGTTACTCCAAATGCTTTAGAAGAGAGCGCTGTGGGTGATGATGTATTAGCCAGAAGGGAAGAAGGACTTTGTTTGGGTCCTGATTTCTCAGAAAGTGGATTAGCAGGTTTATTAGAACATGCTGCTAGTTCTTTCCATGCAGCAGGGATGTATGAAGCTATTCCTGATGTGTACAGAGTTCTAATGCCAATATCAGAAACTGCGCATGATTATAAAAAATTGGCAAATATTCATGGGTAATTTATCTGAACTCCTTTGCAGATAGACCAAAACATTGTGATAAAATTGTAAAATAATTTGTATTTTTTTAATTATAGAAAACTTCACGAAGCGTATACACGTGTTGAACAATTAGCTGGAAAAAGAGTGTTCGGGACATACTTCAGAGTAGGTTTCTATGGAGGACGATTCGGTGATTTAGCCGGCGAAGAATTTGTTTATAAAGAACCTACTTTAACGAAACTGCCGGAAATATTTTCTAGGCTAGAGAATTTTTACGCTGAAAGATTTGGCGCTGAAAATATTGTGATAATAAAGGATTCAAATCCTGTAGATCCCAGCAAACTGGAACCGGATAAAGCTTATGTTCAAATTACTTATGTAGAACCATATTTTGAGCCACATGAACTTAGACATAGACCAACCATTTTTCATAGAAATTTTAATATTAGTAAGTATTCCTTTAAGTACTTGTATACGTTTTGTATGTCTTAGTTAACGGTGTTTAAATATTTCTAGAGCGATTTGTATATGCAACACCTTTCACACCTGGTGGTAAGGCACATGGAGAATTGAGGGAACAATGTAAACGTAAAACAATTCTAACGGTAGCTACACATTTTCCGTACTTGAAAACCAGAATTCGTGTGGTCGCTAGAAAGCAAATTGTCCTCAGTCCAATTGAAGTTGCGATTGAAGACATACAGAAGAAAACGGCAGAAGTAACTATCATTTGGAGACAAGTGCATTTTGCTTTTCTACTTTTATCTAATTTACTTCTATTTTTTCAGGTCGCAGCAGCTACAGCCCAGGAACCACCTGATGCAAAAATGTTGCAGATGGTTCTACAAGGTTGCATTGGAACTACGGTCAATCAAGGACCTGCAGAAGTTGCAGTTGTCTTTCTTTCTGGATTACGTGAACAAAATGCACAGCCTAGCCGACTGCAACATAAATTGCGTTTGTGCTTCAAAGATTTCTCAAAGAAATGCCTTGATGCCTTGAGAAGGAACAAAAATCTGATTGGTCCAGATCAGCGTGATTATCAACGAGAATTAGAAAGAAATTACCAAAGACTTACTGAGAGATTATCTCCTCTCATTGCATGGAGGTATGGAGAATTTCATTTGAATTAACAAATCTGTAACTATTCTTTAGGAAACTTATTATGTTGAACACATTACAGTGGACCATCTTTAATGAGTCAACAAAATACACAACAAACATCACCACGCTGGTAAACTGACTGAATGCTGCTAAGAATTACCAAAGATACATGACACGTAAATGGTACATGAAAGAAGTATTAGCAGCACAAATTACATATGAATCAGAAATATAATCATATATTTATATACCTTAATTTTTTATATCGCTAGACATTTTGAGCTGCTGATAAAGTGTCTCTTTCAAACATTTGAAAAAGAACATATTTGTATGTACTATGTTTAAAAAAATATTGCTAGTCCTATAGATAATACAATGCAATTTAATTATTGCGAGCACTTCAATATAAAACAAAATTTATGTTTCATAAATACTGCCTCCGAATAGTACTAATATACGTTTTATAGTATTTAATATAAGTGAACAATATTGTCAATTTTTAAATTACCACAGGAATTTTCTGCAGAACTGCTTTTTCAGCAGTTGCATAATGAAGTATTATGTTCAATTATTAATCCAATTTCTCTTTAACTGCATCATATCAAATCGATCCTCAAGTTTATATACATTATATATGTAACTACTGATATATTTAGCTTCTAAGAAAGCTGTGATCTTTCAATTGCATTATATTTTATAAACAAGTATTATTGACCTCCATTTTAATACAGAAACTTATAATTATAGATTTTTTACCAAATGACTTCATATTTTTTTATAGAAAATAAATCAAACCACTGATCGCAATGTAACGTATATTTTTAGCAAAAGTATTGCTTCTTTTATTTATTATGTATCTGTTAGTAAATGTTATATGTTATTTAATGTATTAATAAGTATATAAAAATGTTTAAAATCTTTATAAAAGGCAACGCGATCAGTTTTTCATTGCTCTTGTGAAAAGTCTATCATTAAAAGTTTCTCTAGTAGTCCGAAAACATGCTAATGTAGTCAATAAGATTTGTAATTATTTTCTACAGTATATTCAACAAATATAATGTTTACATTACTAATCTGAAAACATTCTAAATATATATAGGATACAAAACACAAAATAAAATGATCAAATTTTTAGTTCAGATCTGAAAACTTAAACGATACGCAATGCATTACAAAAGCTTACATTGGTAAAGTGAAGCTATTATTTATTGCAAGTATTATTAATATATCAATAATAATTTTGCAAAAATTATAAAAGAAATACATTGAACATTAAATTACTTCTGACAGTATACCTTATTATTAGAGATAGTGATATATCTGGAGTAAAAAATGTAAACCTTTGTACGTGCGGAATACTCAAAATATACGGTCATTTTTTACTTCGTTAACATGCAATATTCTTCATTCTTTTAATGTAAAAAATAACATGACTCACCAAATGAAGACTTCAGAAAACGATGCAGGACTCCCCAGGTCTTCCCACAGGTGTTAATTGACTGGGAAATGCACAAATCTTCGATTCCTAAGGGTCAAACACACAAACATAAATGTCCATTAATGACGAAAATAAAAAAATTGATATAACTTTTACAAAAGTCATTGAAAAGTTTTGCAAACATTCACAGCAACTCCCTGATCATTATTGAACAATTTGAGATGAAAATAATAAAGGAAATCGATTAAATTACTATAAAAATTGATAAAAAATAGGTGATGGATCCTCACCTTACGAACTGCCTGGCGCCAAGAGAACATTTTCAATATTTTACCCAAGATCCCTTGCGCGCGACGGTTTGAACTAGGAAAACCGCGATTTAAATTCAAACTCCTTTAAAACAGATGAATACGGTAATAATTAAAATTTCTTAAAAAATCGTTTGAAAAATTGTTGAAACAAATGTTGTTTAATAGTCATTTATAATATTCGTTGCATTTGTTATCCATTTAGTAAATTCTTTTTGTAAATTACTAATTTTTAAAGATATATTTAAACAAATTACAGAATACAAACTGTGTTATATGTTTCACATTGTCTAACGAAAAATTACCAAAAAACTTTTTAATTTATTTAACTACTTACGCAATTGGGCATACAAATTATATTTATTCAGTATTAATAATAATTGTTTTGAAATTGTTTTCTTGTTATTCCTAAGAAATTTATATTTTTTTGCGCATAAGACTTCAGCACCGTATAAATTTAATGTAATTGTATTTGTTAAAAAAATTCGGTGATTATGAACCAACACGTAGTAGCAGTTATCCACATTGATTCTTTATTAATTACGTAATGCTGTATTTACACATGTGTAACTGTGTTCCTTTCATCAAAAGCGTTATTCATTATCGACGCTTGGTGTCCTTTGTTTGGATACATTTGCAACACAGCGACGGCGCACTGTTACTCTAAATTAAACGTCCGAATCCGATTTTCGGCTTAATCCCTTTGTCCGGAACGAAAGGCTTCAGCGTAGATAAAGATATCCCAAACTCAAAAGGGGTACTTAATTAACACACATGGATCTACTATTGATACTTTGTAGGAAACGCTTTGTATTTACATCAAACGTTCAAAGCCTTCAGCGCAAGTATCTAAACAGAATTAATACCGTTGAACATTACCGAAGGGAAATTTCATTAAAAAAGCATACTAATTATAGAATTAAATACTTTTAAACCGTCACAAGGTAACAAGTTAAATAACGAGTGCAATAGATATCCAATGATTACCTTTAAAAAAACATTAGAAAATCTCCGATATTAACTGATCGTCGCCTGAGGATTTGCACGATTAACAATTCCGCCATTGCGTCCACCAAATTTATACAACTCTAGACAAAGCAATTTCGCGGTCGCCCGCGGTTTTATATCGAAACGTTTCGGGAGCATAAATTCACATGTACCACGCTGAAATATTTACAATAGAAGGATATTACGCAATATACAGCCGCCGCAAATTGTTACGAGAAGAGCATAAAAGGGACAAAGAGTATAAAAACGAGGGCATAGGGGTGTGGGGAGCGGGTGGATAGGTACCGCGGCGTTGCGTGGATGATTTTGGAAAAATAATATTCCCCGGTAACCCCTGCGGAATCCAGTCACGTAACAGACAATCCTAAATGGCGTGTCGCCGTCGTGTCGTCGGTCGCTAATCCGTCTAATCTGTCCCGAAATGAAATAGTTGCGATTCTTTCGGTGGCATCCCCTTGATGCGCAACACGCGCGACACGTTCAAGTGTGTGGAAACACTTGACCCCCGTGCTACGAGGGGGACCGAGTAGTTTACAGCGAGGGGGATTATATTCGGGGACAAAATGACTGTCGAAGATACGATCATTCTTCCCTTTAATCGGCCACGGTAACGTGCCGGGTGATCTTTGATCTGGCACCCTCACGAGAAGAAACATTTAATGAATCCACCAGGAATTCCTGATGCTTGTTCCACTGGTAGATCGTTAGACTTCGCGTTTTTCATCGATCGAAGGGATTTCTTGGAAACTCGACTCGAATTAACCCTCCCCGGGGTAGTCTGTATCAGTCCACGTAATTTCGGATAGTTTACTTTGTATAATGCAAGGCAATGGCCAAGTCGGTACGACCGTATTGTTCGAGAATAAAGGACACGTACCTTTATGAGAAAAAATTCGTGGACAAAGAATCCACGAACGTTGCGGAATAATACGCACCGCGCCGTCCCTTTCTTGTCGCTTTTTGATTCACCTACGTGCCTCCGCGACCCCTACCGTTCTCGAGTCGATAGCGGGGGCGAAGTAGAAAGAGCGGGAGGGAGTGCTGACTTTTATTACCCCGTCTGATGTTATGAATGCGAGCTGTACGCAACCCCTCTGCCTACGGCCCCCTTCCACTCTGCTACGGCAAAAGCGGTTATGCTTTTTACGACATGTATATTCGTGGTCGCGATTAGCGACAGCTGCGAACCGAATAGGCGATGAAACATTTGCTATTTAATAAACATTTCTTGATTCATATATCATTGTTTTCCTTAGAGGAGCATGATCAATGGAATTTCGATCTTAATTTTGTACAAATTATAGAATTATATTACATCATGAAGAATTGTAAAATATATTATTTGAATTGTATTCTTTGGAAAAATTATTAGATGATACTATGTGATGTAATTTGAACTGTAATAGATTCAACTTTAATTCAATAGAGATTTCTTTGAATGCTTGTTTGAACCCGTAGAGGGTGTTCGTTTGTATCCATCGCTGGCCAGCGTCTGAATGAGATTGCATCGTTATTGAAGCTCTTCCTGCACCAATACACGGCCCGTGATCGAAGTTATGATGTATGGTGTTGGTTTCGGAGATGCAGGTGCAGTCGGACGTCCACATTGCCCGCGACTAATCGCAGCGAAAATATTTGTATGCTTCTCGCCCCTTAATAACGGGAGCATCGGTCATGCTGTTCGGTGACGCGAGACAGCGAATCTCGGAAGAATATTGCAATTTGTAGCGACCGGTCGTTTCGTCCTACGATAAATTAAACGGCGGCCACTTGTTATCGCATCTACAACGTTAATTGGAGCGACTCGAGGGGCGGAGAACATCTGAAACGCGGCTCACCCTAGGAGCCTCATGACTTTCCGCTTTTGCGCTCCAATATTTTCAGTGTTCTCCAATTTCTCCCGCGATTACAAACATTTTGAAAATATACTTTTCTACAGAATTAACAGAAAAGACGAAAGTATCCTCTTAACGTTTTTTTTTAATATTTCACCACTTGCTTAAGTCAATCGCAAATCCAGATACCGTTCGATATGAATCCGAGGCGGCTTACTGGTATGCTGCGCACAAAGGAATGCTCTTTGATCGTACCGACATTTCCTCTGATCACGGTCCCGTACGCACCGTTGCGATTTCACCCCCGGTCCTCGAAAAATTCGAAATATTACAGATTATATTCCTTATAGAATCAGACGTTACCGCGCTCGTCCGCCAGCGAACAACGTTTTATTCCTCGATTTGCACGTTTCTATTTCAAAAAACGGAATATCCGGAATACCTACAATATTCCTAAGGGAGACAAAAAAAAATTGGAAATGTCGAAGATAATGGAAACATTCCTGCCGGTGAAATGAAACGAAACGTCCAGTATTCCCATCGATCCTCAAATTGCGCGGAACACTCAGATTTTCCGGCCGGTGAAAGAGTCTGCGTGTAATAGGTCCAAATTAAAATCGAAAATGACCCGATCGCCGCTGAAATGATGGTCCGTGGCCAAATGGAAAAGCGATGTAGAGGACCATACCCGAGTTTTCGTCCCTCCCCCTCACTGAAGCGTTCAATTACAAATATTTGAACGTCGATTATCCGCGGCTCCCGTCCGTGCGCGCGGCGGACATTTAAAAACGCGCGTTTAATAACACGTTTCCGCGTTACGCTTTGACATAATTTC